CGGCCGCGCCTGCCGCAACGCGCCAACCAGCCACTGCATTGATGTCTTCCTGTCGATGTTCGAGGACCCGGAGCATGTGTCCCGCACCCTGGACGAGCTGCTCGAGCGGTCCACCGACTACAAGACCGTCCTGACCCCGGGCTTCCTGATGAAGCTCGCCCCCGGTTCGTCCACCTGCCTGAGCCATGCCGCCGGTGGGGCCCTTGCTGACCCTCCTGTCCTTTGCCATGTGCTCGGCGCGTGGATGCGCGCGCGCACGCATGGGGGCGCGAATGGCCCTGCGCAGACTTCAAGAAGCTCGATCTGATGACCGACATTCAGTCGCGCTTCGCCCACTGGATGGTGGTGTTGACATACTTCGTGGTGTATGGCATCCACTATACGCGGATTTTGACGGACGAGGTCAAGCTGCATTTCTTCTCGGCCATCGCGGCCGGGGATGTGGTCTTCGCCGAGCAGGATGGGCGTCTGGCAAATATGTTCCTGGTGCAGCCGCAGTTTCGCCGGCCCTTTGCGGCGCGCTCCCCGCCGGAAAGCCTGGAGGAGCTGCAGCGCGCCCGGCCGACCTTCCGCCCGGCCCCCATCCCCAAGGAGTTTCTCTTTTCCGATGAGCTGGTCACTTCGGCGCAGGCGATCGCCGACAAGCTGGCGGCTACCGCCCTCCGGCGCTTCTCCCCCTCGCTGCCGCTGCTGGCCGAGCCGCTGATTTCCCCGCGGTCTCGCTTCCTCTTCCGCAAGGCCTCCCTGCTGGTGCGCATTTGGGACCTGCTGAACCACCCGGGGCATTCGCCCGGCGGCCTGACGCAGAGCCCGCTCCAGCTGGCAGCCACCATCCATGGTTCGTTGGCTGGGCCCATCTCCCGCCTGTCTCTTTGTCTCTTTGTCTCTTTGTCTGTTTGTCTGTTTGTCTCTTTGTCTGTTTGTCTCTTTGTCTCTTTGTCTCTTTGCCTGTTTGTCTCTTTGTCTCTTTGTCTGTTTGTCTGTTTGTCTCTTTGTCTGTTTGTCTGTTTGTCTGTTTGTCTGTTTGTCTATTTGTCTCTTTCTCTCCTTCCCCCTCTCTCTCTTTCTCTCTTTCTCCCTCTCTCTCCTTCTCCCCCTACCCCTCTCTCCTTTTACCTCTTACTGCCTTCTCTTTCCCCCCGATCCCGACTGCTCCGGCGTGTCTCTGACCCGATTCTGCCCGCAGATCTGTTCCCCAATGACCCGGGGTGTCCCTATGCCTCAGCGGCGTTCACCTCGACCGAGATGCCGAACAGCCCTCCCGGGCGGCCCTCAGTCATCGCGCCAATCCGCTTTTCCGACATGCTCTCCTCGTCGCAGCTGGCGTCCATCCTCCGGCGCGTGGCACAGCCCTCCTACTCGGCCAGAAGCCTGGCCATCCCGGCCTTGTCCATTGCACTGGCCCGCTCGCCCAAAGAGGAGGCCGTGAAGCACAAGATGAGTGCCCTCAGCCGCGATGTGATTATCTTCTTCTCGAATCTCCATTCACCGCCGGCCACCAATTCCCTCGTTGGCCGAGTGCGCATCATCCGCTCACTGTTTGACCTTACCGGCCTGCTGGTGACGCTAGATCGTATGTTTTCCCCCCTGTCCCCGCCTTGCCCTCGCGCTCCCGCCCTCGGCCCCCCTTCTCCTGCCCTCCCCTACTCTCAGTGCGCCGTGCTAACGATAGCCCCCTCCCCGCCTCCTGCATCGCCTGCATCGCCTGCATCGCCTGCATCGCCTGCATCGCCTATAGCCCTGGTCGATGGGTATCTGGCTGTCATCTGCGACACGCAATTTACGCTGGACCGGACACTGGCGTCGGCGGTTCTCCTGCTGCCGGTGGCGCCCGAAGCGCGGCTCCGGGAGCCCAGCTCAACCTTCGCCCCGGAGCTTGTGGACAGCCTCACCTGGCAGCCTCTGTCCGTGGCGGCCAACACCCTTCGATGCACGCGGTGCTTCCGCAGCACGGCCTCGCACGTTGCTTACCCGCGCTCCTCGGAGGAGGCCGATGTCGCCGTGCCGGGCCCCTCCGACGAGGCCCTTGGCACGACGGCGTCCTCCCCCCCGCCGGCCGGGAGCCAGGAGTCGGTGCTGGCTCCTGCCGTGGCCGCCGGGCCGGGCCCGGGCCCGGGCGCCGAGGCGGGTACCCCGCGCACGCGTGCGCCCGTGACCTCGCCAACAAAGTCGAGTGCCGCTCCCTCCGCGGCCGCGAATGGCCCGGGCCCCTTGGTCAAGTCGGCCGCCGCGAAGGCCTCCCTCACACGGTCCAAGCTCACGGCTCGGCTGATCCAAAATGCCACGGCCTCCTCGTCGGCCTCGCAGCCGGCGGCGGCGGCGGCGGCAGCCGCCGCGGCGGCCGCCGGCAGTGTGCCCCCGCTCCCGCGTCTGGGCGCCTCGTCGCCGCTTTCGGCCAAGACGGCCGCCGTTCTGCCGACCGGCTCGGCGGCCCTGCTTGCCGATCCGCACCTGCCGCTGAAGCCGCCCCCGGGGCTGGTGTCAGCGCGGTCGGCCACCCGGCCGGCCGGCCCCCCTGGCGGTGGCGCCGCCTCGCCGGCCAAGCCGGCCCCGGGCCCTGGCGGTGCGGGTGCCGGGCCCCCTGCGACGCGAGACGCCAGCAGCACGGCTCCCCCGACCCCGGCGGCGCCCTTCCCCCGGCTCATCGCCGAGCGCCTTGGCCATGCGTATGCCGGGTGGTGCGCATGTGGCGGGACATGGCGGCCCTGGTTCACTTGATGCTCTGGCGCCCGCGCCCGGGGGCTGTGTCGCTCTGTGTCAAGCCACATGCACGGGTGCATGCACACAATATACTTCCTTTGGCCCTTGCCTCCGTTTCGCCCCCCCCCCCCTCTCCGCCGACCCCCAATTGCATGGCCCTTGTGAGCGGGGCCGTGCGGTGGCCGGACGGCCGGCCATGCGGTGGCCCCTGCTTGGCCTTCCTTCGGCGCTTCCTGGCCCCCCACCAGGCCGGGCTGGGGGTGGCCCCCTTTCAGGTGCCGTGCCCTCGCCCTCGTCTGGCCGGGTCTCGACAGATGCCTGGCTCCGGCGGATGGCATGGGCGTGGCATGGTGGGAGACACCCTCGGGCGAGGCCTTCCCCGAGGGACAGACAATGCACTTGGGCCCACTCGCTCGCTCTGGCCCCTCGTCGTCGACAAAGCCCCGTGGCATGCAATCCTCGAGAGCGGCCATGCGGCCGGATTGTGGGCCCCACTCGCCGGGCCTCACACGGGCAGCGGTGTGGCCATGGGGACCTGCTGCGCACGTCGCTCCCGGCCGTGGGGCATCGAGTGGGCAATGCCCCTGTGTCTCGCCCCGTGTGGATCGGTGGTTTGCTGGTCGAGATGGAGGAAGCGGCCTCTTGGCCGTGAGCCTCCGCGCGCGCACGCGCGCGCGCGCGCCTGGCCCCATCTACCCCTCCAATCCAGGCAAAGGCATGTCTCTCGCCAACTGCCGCTGCCTCGGGGGGAGGGGGATGCGCACATGTGGTCCATTTGCTTCGCGCGCGAAGGCAGTCTCCCGGGCACCCCCTCATGCCGGCCGTGTATTTGGGCGGACCGGGAGGCCCCCAGCCCATGGCTCTTTGGAGGAGCTGTCACCGGAGCCAGTCCCCAGAGCGCCGCGCGGGCATCGGGTTGGGTCCACTGCCCGGAGCCACTGCCCGGAGCAGGGGCCATTCGCCGGGGCCGGACCCGACACTGGAGATGGCACTGGGAGGGACATCAGCGGGCTCCAGCGCCCGGGCCGGCCCCTCCAGCATGCTTGGCTTTTGGCCTCGTATGCGGACCGGCAGCCACTGGAGGAGAAGAAGGCGGCCAGCTGTCCGGGCAGCGGCTCGAGGCCGCCCCGGCGGCAAGCCTTGCAGGCAGTGCCGGGCGTGTGTCGGCAGCAGGGCCCGGACAATGCGAGCTCCCCCGGCAGCCCGGCAGCCCGGCAGCCGGATCGCCCCAGCACCCCGTACACGCCGGCGAGGGGGGGGGGGGGGGGGACCCCCGCACCAGGCCACCCTCGGGGCCGGGCACCTGCTTGGCCCTCGCGCCCCGCCAGGCAGATCCCCCGCCGGCCGGGCAGGGAGGCAGCCCTCTCCGGCGGATGTGGCCTCCTGTCGGTGGCATGGGACGCATCGCCGCCCTGCGAAAATGCAGCCCTGTACACCGGCGCCCCCCCCGCCTGAGAGCAAAGACCCACCACACCCGAGGAGCAACCCGGGGAACGGGCTGGGATCGCCGCGGCCCTGCCGCGTGTCGCCAGGATGCTGTGCCCGCACAAAACAGCGGGCCTCTTCGCCCGCTCTGCGGTGGCCCCGATTTGGCCGCCACACAGCATCGGCGGTCGGGCATCCCCGCCGCACCCTTGCTCGCCAGCCTGCGCGGACCCCGGCGCTGGTGGCAGAGCCGGGCCCCGGGGGCACATTCGCTGGCCCGGGCCTTCCACACGCGCTTGGTCCCACCGGGGGGCGGGCGGGGGCGGCTGGCGGGACTCCACCTCGCCCACAGTGGTTCATGGGCGGTGGCGCCATCACTCACCTCGCGTATCACATGAGCACAGATCAGAACCCTCTCCCCGTGCCCTGCTTCTTTGGGCCGCCGCGGTCGCCGCCCGCCCGCCCCCACCCCGCGGTGGGGCCCCGGCGCTGTCCCCCCCCCCCCGCCGCCGCCGCCGCGAAGGCCGCCTTTGCCCCGGGGGCGGGAGCCCGGGCGGGGGAGGGGAGCCACCGGCTCCCACCGCAAGCGCCAGGCCGTTGTCCCGGGGCCGTTGCTCGGGGCCCGCCGCCGCCGCCACCAGAAGGAGCGGGCGAGCCATCGGCCGTGCATCCTAGACGCCAACGGCGGCAGGCCGGGCGATGTGTTGCGTGTGATGGTATATCTCTCGGTGTGGCGGAGGGGGGACTGCGCGCGTACGGGCCGGGGCCGCCCTTTTCGAAACTTGATGCCAGCCCCCCGCCCCCCCGCCCTGCCGCGCCCCGGCTGGCGTCTAACACACGGGAGGGGAGAGCGGGGCCTCCGGGCGCGCGCGCGCGCGCGCGCGAGATCGCGCGCTCTACGGCGACCCCCTAGGCCGGGGACGCGGTCCCCGGGCGAACAGGGCGCCATGCCACGAGGAGGCAACGCCCGTCGCACCTCGCTGGCAGGGGGGGCGGCGACCGAGAGAGGGAGGACGATGGAGATCCCTCGCGCCGGGCCGGCTGCCCGCTGGAAGTCACCGCGGGCGTGCTCCGGCTGGCGCGGGACCGAGGGTCCCCGAGCCCGACGGGACTTCCCCCGTTTGCGCGAGTCTGCGCATGCCCCCCTTCCCCCCCCCCCCCTGCCCGCCCTCCCCAAGGCACCCCCGCGATGCGTAGCCCAAAAGGGGGAGCGCCCCTCCCCGGAGGCTGGGCGCGCCTCCGGGGGCAGCCCACTCCTCTCCCCCGCTCCGCTCCTGTTTCTCCTTACTTTCTTGACTTCTGGGTGAGATCCGCGCGCGCCTGCGTGTAGTCGCGGCTCCCCCCCCCCCCCCCCTCCCCCCCCCTCCTCCTCCTTATTGCCGATGGAGCGCCGGCATGGGCACCCCCCTCGGCCCGGGCCGCCGCGCCCCGATCACCCGCCTCCGGTGAATGATCGGCTCGGCTGGCGTCCGGCTCCCAGGCCGAGGGATCCCGAGCGGCGTCACCGTGATGGGTCGTCCCCTGCGGGCCCCTTTTCCGGCTCCTCCTCCCCTTTCTCCTCGTCTCTCTCATCGGTGGCCTCCCATCGGCGGCGGCGGTGGCGCTCCCGGTCGCCGCCACGGTCTCGAGGACGCCATGGGGATGGCCCTCCCGATGGCGAGCGTCCTCCCGGCCGCGAGCGCGATCGTCCCCAGGGCTCATGGCATGCCCGTTCTCCGGGACCTGAGCATCACCGACTCCGGGACATCGAGCACAGTCGCCTCCAGGAGCCGGGGGGCGACCATAGTCATGGCCGCCAGCAGGACCGGGCCCGGGCCCGCGACTTCGATCGTGACTTTGATCGCAACTTCGATCGTGACTTTGATCGCAACTTCGATCGTGACTTTGATCGCAACTTCGATCGTGACTCCGATCGTAACTTCGATCGACACCATGAGCGTGGTCGCCGCCCGAGCCACAATGGCAGCCACAGCGGCGGTCACAGCGGCGGTCACAGCGGCGGTCACAGCGCAAGTTACAGCGGTGATCACAGCGGAAGTTACAGCGACGGTCACAGCAGCAGCCACAGTGGTCGCCAGCGCTTCCAGGACTACGATCACAGGCGAGGCCGCGATGATGACAGCAGCCGTGACCGTGACCATCGGAGGACCTACCGGCCAGGCTACCCGCCGGACCGCCGGCGCGATCGCCCACAGGATCACCGCCATTTGGACCTCCTATCTCCAGCAAGGCGAAGTCGCAGCCCCTCGCCGGTTTCTCGCCGGCGACGCAGCCCCTCGCCTCCTGTCCGCCGGCGACGGAGCCCCTCGCCTCCTGTCCGCCAGCGACGCGGCATCTCGCCGGCGCCGGCGTCACCAGGCCGGCGCAGCCCGTCGCCACACTTTCAGACCCAGTGGAGCTCGCCCCTCGAGCTCCAGCAGCCGAGAAGCCCGCCGTCCTTGCAGTCGCCCGGGTCCCAGCACCCGGCCCCCCGCGAGGGGGCCCCCGTCCCGGACCTCTCCTCCTTTGCGGTGAATTACTCGCCCCCGGCGTCGGACGAGCTCCCAGGCAGCAGCCAACCCAAGGAGACGGTCACCACGGCAGTCGTCACCACGCACTTGCCCGTCGCGGGCTCCAATGCCCCGATCTCGGGGACGATGCGCGTGTTCGACCGGTCAAGTGCCGCCAAAGCCACCCAGGCCCCCCCAACCCCGGACCCTGCGCTGAGCAGGCCGGCTGTGCCGGTGGCCGGGCCCCACACCTGCCCCGCGCACCCGGTGGGGCCCCTCCGCGAGGGGTTCCTCTCGAGCGAGGAGACCACCCTGGCGCTGGTGCGCACGTCGCTGGCCCAGGCGGGCCCGGGCTTTGCCGACGTGCTCACCGACCCGGAGGCCGCCGGCCGGCACATGGCCGCGCTCCTGGGCGGGCAGGCTCCAATCCGGGTGGAGCTTCTTCTGCCGGATGGCAGCGCCGAGCCCTACCTGCTGGTGGACTTGACGCTCGTCCAGCGGTTGGCACTTCTGGCCACACGCGGCGGCGGCGGCGGCCCCGGCGGAGCCACCCCCAGTGCGCTGGATCTGCCGTCGGTGGCCTCGTGCGAGCGGCTCACCCGGCACACGAACGACTACGACCCGCTGGTGGATCTGGCCCAGACACTGCTGGTCCTTTCGACCGACCTGCCGGAGAAGTACGACCAGCTGGCGGCCCCGGGCCCGGGGCCGGATGCCTGTCCCGGGCAGCTCGTGGCCGACCCGGCGGCGGCCGACTTTTCCGATGGCTGGCGCGCGCGGGTCGAGCATGCGGCCATGGCGCGCGATGCCGAGGCCCTCCGCCTGCTGGCCGGGGAATTCAATGCCGCCATGCGCCGGCGCCTGTGTGCCGGCCTCTACCAGCCCGGCCGGACGCCCATGTCCTACACCACCGCCGTGCACATTTGGCGGCAGTCCTACTCCCGGGTGGTGGACGACCCGAGCTCCCTCAACCAGTATGAGGGCTTCAGCCCGGATGTCTATGGCGAGACCTTGCCGGCATTGGTGCTGGACATTTTGCGCCATGCGGCGCCGGTGGGCCTGGCGGACGCCCAGGCATCGAGGCCCGGCGGCCCGGGGGGGGGCGACCCGGCCACCCCGGCGCCCGGCGGCGACCTGGGCCCCTTGCGGCTCCGGCGCTTTGTGGACCTGGGCTCCGGGCTGGGCAACGTGGTGTTCATGGTGGCGGCCTTGCGCCTGTGTCGGAGCTTCGGCATCGAGCGCATGCCCCGGCCGGCGGCATATGCCCGGGGCTTGGAGCGCGAGCTGCGCGCCCGGTGCGCGCACTTCCGCAAGCTGGTCGGCCGGTTCCGCCTGGTGGAGGGGGACTTCCTCCTGTCGGCGGAATCGGCCCAGGCCGTGGCCGAGGCGGACCTGGTGTATGTCAACAACAAGGTTTTCGACCCGCCGACCAACCTCGGCCTGCTGGACCAGTTCCTGTCCCTGCGCGATGGGGCTCGCGTGGTGTCCTTCCAGCCCTTCTCCGACTCGTACCGGCGCTTGCGTCGGGCCGAGGCCGGGGGCGGGCCCCGGGGCGCGCGCGCCGGCACCGCCTCGCGGCCGGGCTCCACCGAGTCGGACGACAGCCTCGGCCCGACGGCGGCGGCGGCGGCGGCGGCATCGGCATCGGCGTCCTCGGTGTCATCATCCTCATCGTCCTTGCCGCTGGGCGGCGAGTGCGACGACACGATTGACATCTCCGGGCGCATGATCCACGACCCGGCGGCCATCTTCCGCATCCAGACCTTCGACTACCACCGCCGGGATGGGGTGTCGTGGACCAACTCCGGGGTCAGCTACTACGTGCATACGGTCGACCGGGACCGCCTACGCCGAGCCCAGGAGCAGTTTGAGGCCCGGGAGCTGGCCGCCGAGCGGGCGGAACTCTCCCGCGCCGGGGTCCGGCGCTCCGCCCGCCGGGCAGGGGGGTAGGCTGCCGTGGTGCCCGCGGGCGAGCTCCCTCCCTCCCTCTCCCCCTCCGGTCGGCGCCGTTGCTTTGTTGCTGCCGGTCCTCCCCCCCACGTCTGCTACTCCCCCCCCCCCCCCCTTGCGCGTGTCCTTGTGCAAAGTGCGCGATCATAGACACCCGATTGCGCGCTGCTTCATTCACGCCGGCGTTCCCCTCGTCGCAAGTGCGGGCACCATGGTAACTCGGGGGCGTCTCTCTCTGTGGGGGGCGCGGGAGTGGGGCACAAAGGG